GCCTTAAAATAAAACATTATCAATGGCTGAGAAGACATATCATTTATCTTCAAATGGAACAAAGATTAGAGTATGTGAGAAATACAATTTGCTCTATTTTAGAATTTTTCAATATATGATCACCGCTTCTTGTAGAACTTGTTCCTAGAAGGGAAATAATGTCACGGATATATACCTAATATAATTATTACATAAGTAGATAGAATTAGATGAAAATAGATTAATTTCATAATGCCTTCTAGAAGAGCTTCTTAAAAGCTTCTTAGTTGTTGTTTTGACTTTACATATATTTGTAGTTGATTAATAGATTAAAAACTTAGTCAACAAACTATCCATGTGCTACATATATTGGTAGCTTGTAGAACAAGCTAACTATATAGCATTCATATAAAAAACTTGCCTTCTAAGTTAAGATATGTGTCATGCAAAGTCAACAAGTTTTTGGAGGTTCTATAGAACTTTGCCACATAGATCCTAAGTAGATAGTATATATAGAGGCAAGAGTAAAGCCTTCGTCATTCTTGTCAATTCCTTTCTTGCTTCTAGTTTAGATTCAAGAGTCTCTAGTTTTCTTATCTTTTGGCAATAGCCATTTGAGTTTCCTTTTAATATACATACTATTTTTTATTATTTTATTATTTTTCTTTTGTCACAAATTTTTTAAGTTTACGCATCTTCTTTCAATTCATATCCTTGACAAATTCCTCTCCAATTCTTTTTTTTATAAGATATATATAACATATTCTTTAAATACCAAATAAAGAAATAAAACAAGATTTCAAAAGTCACCAACATCTAATAAAGGTAGCTATAAATATATAAACTATTATCAATATAAAATCAACTTCAATAATAGTCTTTTCAAACTAACCACTTCAAAGTAGTAATTTAACCATATTTTGTGACTAACTAAAATCTAATAATGTGGCTCTTATCATATTATATAATAAATTATACATTAATACTTATGTGTATTATTTTTACATAATAGACAAACCACTACAAGACAACACCTTTTTATGTGAAGGAACTATTATATTTAGAAATGCCACAATAATAAAAAGAAGTATTTGAATGCAATTTTGGATTGAGAGTTGTAGAAAGAAAGAATTAGAGATAGAGTTATAATAAAGCTTCCAAAACGCCTTCAATGCTATTAAAGATTTGATGATAGCTAGCCTTGCAAAAGTCAATAATTTGTATGCTTTAAGTTGTATGTTAGGATTGTCTAGGATTTCTTAAATGTAGTATGAAAGAATTTTAGGACTTTAGACAAAAATACATTCATATATTTGAAAAATGAAGACTTTGCATTTCAACAAAATTTGATTTTTTTAAAAAATATCTAATTATTTTTTATGGAAGTTATTGATAAGTGGCGACTTGAATCTAAAGATATTATAAATAATACAAAACCATTGAAAGTCGTGTTAAAAGATTAAATATCTAATATTCTCTTTAATATCATTCAATATCATTAAAAACTTAGTATACTTGACTTACTTTATATTGAATTATTTAATCTTGATATTGATTGAAAATTACAAAAGATCTTGTCAAGATCTAGTCTAAATATCAATAATAATCTTTATTTTTTAAAGCAAAGGTATTTATATTAGTTTAGAAATAAAAGACATCCAAATATTATATATATATATAATATCAAGTTTTTATTAAAATACAAGCTATAATAGAATCATACAACAATATTAAAAGACCAATTTATCTTTGAAAAACTAACATATAGGTATATTGTGAAAACACCAACCTTATGATTGTATAATTGATTTTCAAAAAGAAGCTAAACCACTATTTAGACTAATTTATAACTTGTCAAAAAATGAACTTGCTGCTTTGGAGAAATATATTAATAAAAATCTTGCAAACAACCTTTAAAAATTTCTTTATTTTCAAATACAAAAGTAAGAAGTTTGATTTAACTATCAAGAATTTATATTTGTTAATAACACATCAAATGTTTTGAAGGAATAATATTAGTATAAGCCATATATAAACTTACAAGTCTAATAAATAAATTTGCCTATTATAAAAAAATTATATATATATGAGAAGGTAATAAAAATTATTTACTTTACTTATAAGTTATTAAAAGAATTATAACATATTACAATAGATGCAATTTAATCATAAATCTTGTCAATGACAATATCAATGATAATATAATGCTACCAAATATTATGATTTTTAATATAGGATATCCAAATCTATGCATTTGAACTAATTTTTTTTATTTATATCCACTCAACCATTGATTAAAGATATAGTTTGTATTAATACAATAAGATTTTATATATAAGTTAAATAAAAATATATCCAATCATCACTACAAAAACTATTTCTTTATAATATCATTCAAAAATATGTTCTATCATCAAGTCAAGTTGCTATAAGCAACACCATCTACATATAAGATGGACTATAGCAAAAATCACCAAAAATAAAAGTCATATTATAATACAAGAAATTTATCTATTTATGTTATAAATTACATTAAAAGACAAATAAAATATGTTTTGCAAACTAGATCATATAATGATTTAAATTTAATAAGATTCCAACTACAACTTGTTTTTCTTGTTTTGTTACTTTATCATGCCTCTCTTATAATAGATCAACAAGAGCTAGATCAATATCATCCAAATTCTCATTCTTATAATTATTTGATAGTTCATTTTTAGAAGAATAAATAATCTTTTCAATAATTACATCATTGATTTCTTTATCAATATTAAAAATAAGTGTAGATGTACTAATCAACTCCAAAACAAAAAAAACATAAAGAATATTTATAAATTCAAATGAACTTGAACAAAAGAAGCTTCTTGCTCTTTACAAGTTTTGAGTTTTTGATTTGAGTGTTGTTCTTTTATATGAAGTCTAATATTATCATATCAAGATACAAGGTTCTACACTAAAGGGAGGTTAGTCCACTTTTTCTTGTCTCCAATCTTTTCCTTACAACCAAAATCAATATAAAAATATCAAAGACCACAAACTTAAGAGGTTTGAACATACTTTGATACAACCTTGACTCATTGTTTTAATTCATTATTTTTCACATAACTAAGACTATATTGTTTTTTTTCTATATTTTATGAATCTAAGTGAATGACCAATTTATTCATTTATCCACCTCCTAGGAACAAAGGCACACAATAAACTATATATCTTCCTGAATAGTCAAGTAATCTATGGAATCTAAAAGCATACATAAATACAAAAGCTTCAATTTAATTATTCTAAATATTCTAGAGATTGAAAATCCCAAACACCTAAATTGAAGAGACACAATTCCAACATATTATTAAAAAAAATTATGCTAAAAAGAAACTAAAAATAATACTATTGGAAATTTAACAAATATAATTTGATAATAAGACTTCAAAGATTCAAACTTACTTTCAATAATCAAAACTAACAAACATCACAAAATAAATTATTAAGCAATCTAAAGAGTAATAAAATCATATAGTTTGGCAAAATATCCATGATCCATAATCAATCTCTTAACATGTTCATTAGCAAAAACTAAAAATACTATCTAACAATATTTAGTTTCCTAATTGAACAAGAATCAGTAAATGCCCATGTAGAATTGTATGCAATAAGTCCTTGTATCCCCCTCGATAGAGTAAGTATAGCTGATTATCTTCACAATGGTGTCGTTATGCAGCCACAGAGAGATGAAAGAAGAGTTAAACAAGAAGATTTACAAACTCCACAACATAATACATTGGGATTATGGGATGATTATGAAGGCTTTTGGGGTAGAAAAGTCAAGAGTTTAGGAGATGGTGATGAGAGAGGATTCATGGGGGTTATATTGAGGATGCTTCTTGCAAAGATCGTCCGTAGAAAATTACAAGGATTGTGAAAAGGAGAGTAGATGAGGTGACAAATAAGTATCATATGTTTTCTTTGCAAGAGATTGCAAGAGGAGCAGATGTTGGGCTCTCTTTCTCAAGCATTTGCAAGATTATTTCTACTAATGCCTTCCACTTAAAGGTGCCATGGTTGAAATCCTACTAGGAGTTAAGATAGAAAGAAAAACATCAAGAATTTTCTCATAAACATTGTGGGTGGAATTTGTTATAAAGGACAAGGGTTTGTTTCATTGACGAGGCCATTATAATCTATTATTCATATCTTACAGGGAAGGTTCATATGCATCAAGGTAAAGAACTACACAAGAAGAATTTGAAACCTAGTTTCAAGTTGAGGAGGATAAATATTTTTAGCATGCATTAAAAAAAGAGATTGTTCTAAGTTAGCATTAGTGAGAAAGAGGACAAAGGAGCCTGGTACTCCTTGTGATAGACTTGGTCTCAATGCTGTGCAATTTGCTCAAGAATTGCACAAACCTCACATTGTTCCTTTCGTTTGCACTCTAAGCAATAAGCCAAGTCATATCTGTATAGTTGCGGATGGAGCAAGATTGCAACAAGTGCCTGAGAATGCAAGAATCCAAAGAAAATGTGACTATGCACAACTACCTTAGCCACCCAATTCTCCAAACCTCAACCCAATTGAGATCTAAGATGATTCTGAAATAACACCTTAGAAAGCATTCCTTGCAGAGAGAGAAAAGACCTCATGATGCCCAACACCAACAATTGTTTGAAGCAGGCACAGAAAGAGTGGAACCTCATTGATCAGAGCACTGTAGATAAATAGATAGATGAGTTGGCTAGAAAATTGCAGGCAATTCTTAATGCAACTGGAGGTCACAATGGGTTGGGTTGTGAGCCTCACCAAAACAGACTTGTTTTTCATCAGCAGAGGTACAAAGACTTACTGCAAACGACTGTACGCCACACCTCATCAGTTTCTCATAAATCCTAACGCCAGCCGTTCCAACAAGGCCTGTAATGTCCTCTTCTCAATAGCGTCGACAGTGCTATTAAACTGTCCCAGATTTAGTACGTGCCGGCGAAGGATTTCCAGACGTCACACAAAGTCGCGACAAACAACCCAACGCATTATCGAAAGACACTTTCTTGGGATTTCATTGACTTATAATACAAGTCTCCCATATATCTGTACTTAAACCAGTAACAGATGGAATTAAATGATCCGACAATGGACTAAAATCAACTGTCACGGACCCAGGAAGGCGCCACGATTGGCAACGCTCAAAAGCCAACTCTATCCCTGGCCTTGCAATCAACCTAATCTCTCTCCCTCTCCCTCTCCAAATACTGCGCGCGTGAAAATGTAAACTCCTACCAGAAACTACTCACCTACAGAACATCCCTCTGCCTCACCAACATGGCTCATCTAACGAATCACATAAATGCAGCAATCCATCGCTAACTGCTTCGCCAACCGCACACGTGCACATCACCGCACGCACCGCCACACTCCAAAACCAATCGCTTTAGGAGGTGCCACCTTCCGTGCACCCCTGCAACTCGACCTCCCGTACTTGATACACAGTACTTCACAGCAACCCAGGGTTCCCGAACGGATTGCTATATGCAGGAGGGGGTGCGGGCAGCGCTAGTTGCCCGGGTATCGGTGCAGGCTGAGGAGCCCCGTACGGGTATTGTCCAGGCACGCCTCCTCCGTATGGATTCCCAAAAGGATTCGGGGTGCCTGCCGCCATCCCCATCCCCATCGCTTGCTGCTGCATCATCAGAGCCTGCTGTTGCTGCATCATCTGCATTTGCACGTTCGTCGTGGGTGCATACTGTCCGGAAGCCATGAACGGGTCCATGTGCTGCGGAGGCATTCCTGGGGCCTGGAACGGGTTCGGGGCCGCGCTGTTCATTCCCATGTTGTAACTATTTGGAACGGCTCCATTCGGCCCGCGCTTTTGCAGCGCGTCATCGTACAAGCTGTCCAGCGTCAACTTATCAAACCCGCCAGCCTGTTCACACATTCTCAACGTGTCAGCCGTACCGTCGCGATTGTCACTGCAACCCACATACCCACCAAAAGCAATGCCCTGGGAAACCCCTCCCACACCGCACCACAACCACTCGCATGCACTCACTTCCACATCGTGAACACGACCCAGCTTCTCCTTGCACTATCCACACCACCATTCCCCATTCTATCCGCGACCCTTCACCACTCACCAGTTTGCTATGGTTCGCCGCAGCAGTCGCAGTGTCTGTGGGGTTTGTCACCAGCGCAAGTTCCCAACCAGCAGGGTCATTCACATCGAAAGTTGGTCCAGCATTTCCATTCGCACTTTGACCTGTACGCACGACCATCAAACAACACACCATCAAATTACTTGCCACGCTGCAAATCCAGAATGTCAACATGCGTCACACGCAAACCACTGCTTGCATCATACACCCACGCAAAGACCTGCCGGAACCAAAACTCGACTACCAACCGCTCTGGATCACGCACAACACATCCAACAAAATCCAATCACCGAAAACGAAATCCAAAAAAAACACTCCATTCCTCAAACCACTACCACATCCCACGTCCCCCTCCCTCACTGTAACTTCAACACAACCCTCTTCTCGTAACCTTCGCCCAGACTCAACTGAAACAACACTCACCCTCTGGGATAATTGCTAGAGCCAGAGCATTCGCATTCTCCAGAGCTGAAGCGTCCGGTAAGTCCTCGTCCAATCCCTGCGGGTCACACACAAACACGTAAATCTCATCGCCAATCAAAATCCCACAACCTACTCTTCACACGACTGGAGCACGCAACTGCGTCACACATATCTCTCGTTTCTCAACTCCCTCAAAAACCTCCACACTCACTTCAGTATCAAATCCTTCCAAACACCTCACTACCGACGTTCCACAATGTCTCGCTCCCCGCTGCAACCAAAACACGCTCATCCAACCCTCTCATAACGCCACAAACTTCTACCGTTCCCAACAACTCTACGCAAAAACCAACACAAACCACGACCATCCAACTCACCAAAAGGTCTCCCACTGGTTCCACCACGGCAGGCTCCGCTTGTGCCGGTGGCGCTTCTTCGGGAACAGGAACCGGGGCCTCCGGTGAAGCATCTTCGTACTCCTCCTCCTTGTAGCTGGGAGGCGCTTCTTCCTCTGGTGCACGTGGTGGACTTCTGTCTCCGTATTCCTGTTTAAGACGCCATGACACTGTTACTCCATGCACGGCACGTCACGTCATGCTTCGTAGGATGACCCACCCACACCCACTACCGCACACAATCACTCCAACTAACCTACCATCCAACTGCACTACCACTACCACCTCGACCCAACGGTCTCTAAAATCGTCACCAAAACAGACCAAAACCACCTACAACCAATCATGCTGCAGGCAGCGGTGCGCACCGGTTCGTTCTTCAGCATCAACGTTGCTCCTGCACGAGGAGCTTCTTTCACGTAATCCTCCATCGTCGTCAGGAAAGATTGAGGAGGCTGCATCACCATGCCACACCAACCTCGTCACTTGGGTTCATTACTCACTCGTAACTTCACAAATCGGACAACAAACGACTCAATCACCTCATACCTTCTTCGCCAACAGCACCACTACAAACCCATCCATCACTACACCCACCCTACACACCACTGTGTGCAACATACCTGCTCAAGGGTGGGGAACTGGAAACTGCGGGCAAGGTCCAATCCCTTACAAACCTCGTAGAACTCTGACAGTCTTTCAGCCTGCAACACAACCCACGGTAGCTCGCACTCGTCATTCTTCGTATTTTCTCCAGGAGACACCGCTCTGCGTTGCACGGCTATTTGCATCTCGCTTCACGACTTCAAGCGCTCCAAACGCGCCACACATCACCACATCCATCAGGCACAACACTCCACATCACTCACTCGCAATCAACAAATTATACCCAAACCCACCTGTGCCCAGCTCTCT